AACCTGACTCGTTTGATTTTTGGGTTTTTTCCAAACACGTCGACTTAGTTTCATCTTATTGTAAAGTTACGTAAAGCAAAGAGTCGAAAACACGATCAACTCAAAACAACTTAAGATCTGCAACAAAGGAAACAACCACAAAAACTCTAAACTACACAAAAATACAAAAACTGCCACAAGGAGTCACAAAGAACCAGAGCAGAACTCAACAGGACTAAAGATTACAGCAAAAAGATCCAAACTCCCAAAGAGTAGATAAACGGCGGGCAGGAGCGGGAAAACAACGCTTCAAACCACAACCAAAAATAAATTTATGAAAGCGTTTCTGCTCGATTTTGGTGAAATGCAGAAATGTAATGAGCCAGAAATCAAAAATCTGTTTGGACGGAAAAAAAGGAAGTTTGAGCTGAAGCGTGTGTGTGTGTGTGTGTGTGTGTGTGTGTGTGCCGGGGGGGAGGTTAATCAGTTCACCTGAGGGAAAGGTAACTCTGCAGTTTAATTCTATTTACACCCTCTCACACACACACATACACACACACACGTGTTGCCACAAATGTTCATTATATGGATCCGCTGCTGAAAATAATCCCAAAGCTTTTGAACTTGAAGTGTTTGGGATGTTTATTTTTGTTTCAAATCCGAAGATGTACTAAGCTGAAGGACACATCTGGATCAGAAAAAATATTTTCTCACTCTGGGCAGTGAATTCTGAAAATACTGATTTATAACTACCTGAGGAAAAATAGAATTTACATTTTGGTGATTAATTGATTAACTTGGCCAAAAAAAAAAGGTTAAACAAATTATCAAAACTTCCTTTGAATGTTTAAAACTCTAAAAATATTAATTCAACTGAAAATAAAAATAACAGTCATAAAAGAAAAGCAGCAGATTATCTTGTTTTAATCACTGAACTCTGAAAAGATTTATTTTTGTTTACCTTTGGTTGAAAATTTACAAAAGGGTTTAAAGCAAAATGTATTTTTTTCCTTAAGTCCCCACAATTACGTAGATATTTAATTGTATAATTAAAAAAAATTGTATGGATAAAATGTTTCCTCTCATAAATCAGCTGTAAACTGAAGCTGAAAGAGAGATTTCTGAGTCTCTTCTTTAAAAATGATGACTGAATCCAGTCGTGAATGTAAATAAAGTTGTTGTAATGGGACTGAAAAAACAAAAACAGGCCACAGAAATCTTACAAATATTCCTAACATAGATAACTGCATAAATAAATGTGTAGATATCATAAAGCGGGCTAACACTCAGGTTTTTATTTTATAAGCAGCTGAGTTTACTTTATGGTTTTAATTTTTTCTCATAAATTATATATATATATATTTTAACAGCAGTGATTCATAAAAACGTTGAGACGTGATGTCACGGAGAAACTGGATTTAAGAGTTAAACCGAGAGACGAAAACGTTATTGAAACTTCAGTGAAACCTGTGAACCAAACATGAGCTGCAGCTCAGCTCAGGTTCAGCCCGTCAGGTGAATCTCGCCTGTTCAGTGTCAGGATTATTTATTTATTTATTTATTTATTTATTTGAGTTTGTGAGCTCACATGCACATGTGTTTTTGGTTGTTTTGCACCAAAAAAAAAAACCCTATTATTTTAATTTCTTTTATTGAATAAAATTGTTTTGTTTCATATTTAAACTGATTCTCAACAACTGTCTTTCCCCTGTTTGTTTTCACACTTTTATTCCAGGCTTTAAAGTTCTACTTTTTTTGTATGTTTTCTGTTAACTAACATGAAGAAATTTGCTTTTTTTGCTTTTAATGAAAAAAATGTAATGTTACAAACATAACCAGATCAAATAAAAAAAAAAAAAAATTTAAATAGTGACACAAATTCATTTACACAATATTTTGCTTTTTTAAAGGATTAATTTCATTAGACTTTTTATGACTGCCAATAATTGAGTTTATCAATTTGGTATTCTTTGTTTAGTGTATGTTACATATGTCTAGCTAATATACAAAATGTTTGTTTTATTTACTATTTT